GCGGCGGTGGGGGGGAGGGGAAGGGGGCCGCGGAGCCGGGCCAGCCCTGCACCCACTCGCAGCCTCTGGGCCCGGGACAGAGACGCTCCCCCCCTCCCCGCCCCCCCAGCCTCCTCCCCCGCCTGTCCAGGGGCGGCACTGCGGGCTGGGAAGCCGGGACCAGAGGAGGGAAGGAAGGAAGGAAGGAAGGAAGGAAGGAAGGGAGGGAGGAAGGAAGGAAGGAAGGGAGGAAGGAAGAGAAACGAAACGAAGAGAAAAGACAGAAGAAGAGAGGAGAGCAGAGCAGGAAGAGGAGGAAACACAGGGCGGGCAGGAGGCAGAGGACGGCACTCTTGCGGCAGCATCCGAAGGCCAGAGTGGGGACCCGCGCTGCCTCCGCTGCTCCTCGGATGGTGACGGGGCCCCGCCGCGGCCGCAGCCCCCCAGAGCCCCACAGGAATCATGCCCAGGTCCTTCCTGGTCAAGAAGGTCAAACTTGACACATTCTCCTCCGCAGACCTCGAGAGCTCCTACGGGCGTGCCCGCAGCGACCTGGGCGTGCGTCTGCATGAGAAAGGTGCGAGCGGGCTGAGGCGGGGGGCGGCAAGGGGCCCAGGGTGGTGCGGAGCCGAGCCGGTGGCGGTGGCGGCCAGAGCGCGGGGGTGGAGGGGGTTCCGGCCCAGGAAGGCAGACCCGAGGGAACCAGAACCAGCAGGAGGCAGTGGCTGGAGCAGGACTGCGGAGGGGGATGGAAAGGGGGTGGGGAATGCAGATAGGCCAGAACCGGGCCAAGGCTGGCAAGGGAGCGCAGCAACTCAGGAGAGAGGGTGGGGAACAGGAGGTCCCCGGTGTGCACCCTGACCCACACCTGCCCTACGCCCAGGCCAGGGAGTGCAGCCGCATGTGGTGCCCGTTGACCCAGCCATGCACAGACCGGCACCCACACGCCCGCTTTGCTTGGGCTGCCACCGCGAGGCTGCCAGGGCAGCGGGAGAGAGTGCCGAGCTCCAGGGGGTGGGCATGGAGTCCAGTGGGCTGCCCACCTGCCAGGGCAAAGGCCGTGGCCCTGTCTCCCCTGAAGGCTGGGTCAGGGACCAGGTGAGGGTCAGTGAGCAGTGGGGTGTGAGGCCCACATGCCGGGGCAGGGGCAGGCTCTTTGTGTCAGGTGTCCAAGTTCAAGGACACCATCAGTGTGCAGGCGAGGGCCAGAGTGCTGGCAGCGTGGGGTGGCAGCACAAACGTGCCCTGCAGGAGCGGGCGCCTGTGTGCCCTGTGTGCCATGTGACCGTGCGCGGCCATGTGACTGCGCCTGTGTGTGACCCCCACGCGGTGCGCCTGTCTGGGCCACTGTACGGCTGGGCTCGGCCGTGGCGGCCTGGGTGGCGGAGGGGGCCTGCTGCACGTGGGCCCCCGGCTGGTGGTGCTGCCCAGATGGGTGACAGTGCCCCAAGGGAGGGAGGCTGGGCTGGAAGGGGCTGGGAGTCAGTGTGTTCGGGAGAAGCCAGAGCCTGCGTGGCGGGGGTGCCATGTGTGACTTTGAGGTGCTGTGACCGGTCCGTGCCTTGACAACACTGCAGCTCCCGCAGGGGGCCACCCCCACCTGCAGCGCGCCGGCAGCGCCCTGGCACTTTCTCCAGCACAGTCTCTCTCTTGGGTTGCCTGTCCGGGGCTTGGGCAGGCCCCTGAGAGCTTCGGGGCCTGGGCAGGGGACAGAGGCCAAAGTGGAAGGAGGCAGGCCCCAGGCGCAGCATGACTGAGGGGCGAGGAGAGGGGGGCTTGGGTCTGAGGGTCAAGTCCAGCAAGTAGTGGCACCTGAGAGCTGGGGGTGTGCAGGGCGCGGGTACAGGCTTGGGCCTGCTTGGAGGATCTAGAGGGCCAGAGGTGCACAGTAGTGAGG